TGTTCTTTCTTTTGTTGGGTGGTAATTTCAAAGCTCGGACTAATTCAAAGCACAAAGTTCAAACATAGTAAAATAAAGTGAAAATAATATATGTACTTTCATGATTTCCTTGTTCAAAATAAATTGAAACCAACATTTTTGATTAGTTAAATTACTTGTATTTAGCTAAAATTCTGCTTTAGGCTATTTTTTAACCGACTTCTAAATAGGAGGAGGTTCTAGTATGTTCGTCTGTATGTATCTTTTATTGCATGTTCACCGATTTCTCGGAGACTTAAACGATTTTGCTACTTTTAATGGTATTGTATTTATGTAGGTCCCGAGGTGGTCCTAAAATGATAAAATTTTCTTTTATATAGAGTTTACCGTTTTCGAGAAAATCAGGAAATACCATGAAATTTCAAGTATGTTAACAGATTTAATTAGACTTTTTTATACCAATTATTATAGTATAGTCGATGCAATGCAAAGCAAATCTATTTCGATACATATAAATACATCATAAATTGATATACTCATATAATAATATTTTAACTATAATTAGAATTCCTATATGTGAATATCTAAATAGGTAAATACAAATACCTTGTCATATTTATCTATTTACATATTCATATCTTAAAGCATTGTTTGCTGCCACCGATTTTGAAACTTAGAAACTTTGAATTATCTGATTAAGTATCTAGAGTAGAAGTATCCTAAATGAAAACCCTCGTTAAGTTATTTAAAAAACTTATTTAAAAAAAATATTTTTAGTGCCTGGAGTCGTTTTTTTTTTTAATTTTATTTCAATCTGTCACTTCAATCTGTAAATTATTATTATATACATGTTAACCTATTTACTACTAATTATAGTTATATTATTCAGTTAAATATTTAATTTTTAAATAATATTTAAAGAAAATAAATTAAAAAAAAAAAACATTTGACTTCGCAACTTACAAATATGGAACACGTCAGACATTTCTTCACTACATCATAATACTATATTAGAACTGTACTTTCTAGAAAACGCTATCAACACTAGTGTACACATCTGTAACTTATTCTACAGTGACACCTGATCTAGTTCTAGCTCAGATTGAAGCACTTAAAGTTGAATTAACGACTTAAAAGCTATTTCTAGTAAAATTTTGAACATCAAAAGTCATAATATGTCGTAAAGAGCGCGATTTGTTCTTCCTAATCTCATAACCGTGATATTAGCTTTTAGACTGTCGCAACTTATATGAAATTTTAACTGGAAATGTAGTTTAAATGTAACTAAACTATTATGCTATTAAATTAATTAAATGAAGATATAAAGTTAATTTATCCGTAATTGTATGGAATTTGTTTGATTGAGAGATGAATATTCATTAATTTGGTTACTGATACATAGTATTTGAGATTAGCTTTTATTTAGAACTAGCATTGCTCGCGGCTCCACCCGCGTTCAGATGACCAAAAACCAAATTCTTAGGTTTTATATATTAGTATACTCTTACATTGCAGTTTTGCATTTTTTGTCAGAAATGAGATATTTTCCCGCGGTAAAAAGTATCCTATATGTTAACCCGCATAACCAGCTATCATCAAATTTCATCAAAATCTGCCCAGTGGTTTTCTCGTAATGCGGTAACAGACAGACAGACAGAAAAATCTAAAAACAATAGATTTGGACTCTATATCGATAATAATGTCTATTTCAATTACATTTTCCAAAAAATATTTAATGTACAGATTCGACTTAGTTACAATTTTATTATATGTATAGATGTTTATACATAATTTGTTAAGATTCATTTGTTTGAGAACCTTCTCACAAGTGGTTGGCGGTCTTTTGCTTTTTATGATTTAGTACCTCCAGACGAGTGCATAGAGTATTGAAAACTGGCAGGTTTACTCCATCGAGATCCTGAGAAATTTATTTTTACGTAGCTCGTGCGATTTCTATGACGAGCACAATGTTGTAAGCTTTTGACTTAATTAAAAAAAAATATCTTTATAATTTTATTACTATAATATTTTTTATGGTACATGAATACACGTAGTTACTTGACCACGAATTAGAAAATAGTATTGAGTATAATTTTGAAACTTGTTTCTTCTATTCCTTTCGCAAATCCTACTCTCCGTTTCGATTGTAATTTCAAGATTATTTAATACGAGCTCTAGAAAAACAAAAACAAATCTATCCCACGGGAACCGTATATTTTTCCGGGATAAAAGCCTATGAGCTATTCCAGACTATAATTTTTCTTAAAGCCAAATTTCATCCAGATCCGTTCAGCCGTTCTGGCGTGACTGTGTAACAAACCTCCAAACATCTAAACTTTCACATAATAACCTAATATTAGTAAAATTACATATTTTTTTTGCGTTTTACGTATACGTTAGTATGTTTTGTATTTTAAAGAGATTACTTTGTCCGTTTGTTTAGACGACAAGACAAAGTTAGACCTGAAAATGCAGTACGCCTTTCACCTTATATATAAACATTAAAATGTAGCATTTAATATTAAATAGAGGAAATATCTTATTCTTAAGCAATAAACATAAGCTTTACAATAAAATTAAACGTATAATAGGTTTTAGATTGAACTATAAATCAGAACTGCCAGCAACAGCGATGAAGAGCGCATAAAGATATCAAAATGTGAGGCTTTCTTGATGCCAGATATAGACGCGCGCGCGCTCGCGCAGTTCGCGCTCGTATTACTTATTTACAAAATGACATTTGATTACGTTCATACGACTTTATTATCAAAATATTTAGTTACACAGATTAAATTGCTTTACGGAAAGGCACTATCAGTAAATAACATGTTTTCGTATAAGTTTTTAATATTTACATATAAATAGTAGGTTAATATATTTTGTAATTGTTGTGGTATTAATAAGAAAAAATGTACTAAGTAGACTAGACACCATTTTTTTATGTGGAAATGTCGAAATAAGGCCTTTAGCATAAAACGTGCCTGAAAAGAACAAATAGTTAGAATCGAATTGAAGGCGCCTGAAATATTTGTTAATAACATGAATATATAATAAATAAATACGAGTATGTTGGGACATTAACACACAGCACCATCTAGTTCCATGGTAAGCTACTAGGCCTGTGTTATGGATCCCAGATAGTGGATACACTACACATATATGTATCACTTCAAATACATATTATAAATATAAACCCTCATGACTGGGGTACAAACATTCGTGCTCATCACAAAAATTAACGCTTCCAGCGGGACTCGAGCCCGAGACCGCTGGCACAGCAAGTAAGGCCACTACAAACTGAGCCAAACGTATCGTCAAAAAAATATAAACTATTACATATCGTACAGGGTATTTAGCTATCTATTCGTATATTATTGAAACATACATATGTAAATATAAACAAACATAAATTTAGTCAAAAGTCACACTACCTTATAAATGTGACGGTTTGTATGTGTGACTCATTATAAAAAGGCTGAACGGATTAAGATAAAAAAGTATAGATAGATGATGACCTGAAGTAATACATAGGCTAATATTATTGATAAAACTTGCGAAACGGTGCCGCTGTCTGTTTATTATATACCTTAATTGAAGTTTCTGTTTGTAATGTCAAAATAACAGGTTTTTAATAAATGCATATGAAATTATATACGGTTCTTATCAGATAACAGTCAATTTTTAACATTTTTGTCTGTCTGTCTGTCTGTTCGTTCCCGCTAATCTACGAAACGGTTGAACTGATTTTGACGGGACTTTCACTGGCAGAACTGATGTTACAAGGTGTAACTTAGGTTACTTTTATTTTAGAAAAAGAATTCTGGTTTCGCTCATAAAAGTTAAAACGTACCTAAGGACGTACCCGAGCGAAGCGAGCTAAAGTCTCTAGCGTAAGATAAATTAAGCATTTTGGTCCAGAGTTGAATGTCAAATAACGGTTTTGATTAATTGTGACTAGTATAGTGTTCCAGCATCATTAGCTTACACAACATTTCTCTGCACCTCTAATGAAGGCACTTGTTAACGTAATATAAGATTGCTTTGTATCGAAAAATTATTATCTCACATAAATCAAATTAGCGCTTCCGCTATTGCATATTAATGAGCCGTAGTAAAAATATGTCCCAATAAGCAATAAAATAGAACAAATCGATTGTTAAAGTATAATAAAATTAGAAATGAAATTTCTGTCTGTGTTTATAAAATAATCGTGTTGGTTAATTTAAATATTATAATGAGGTGTTTAATATGTTTATTACTGCTTAATACCTCAACGACCGCGGACACGCCGGCGTTACAGTTAACAATAGACTTCTTAGAAATTTAATTAATTTCTTAGAAATTTACCTGGAGGTGTTTTTATAATACGTGTATAATATCTTACCTTAATTCTTGCTATATGTATCATAAATAAATATTTTAAAGGTATAAATAGTTTTTTTTTTATTTCGTATTTCATAATGCTTCGTGTTATTGTTGTTTAAACAAACTCAAGCAGGCCATAAAGCAGTGGTAGCCCAGTGGTAATGCGCTCGCTTGGGTAACCAAGTGAAGTTGATTCAAATCCTGTGTCTCGCACCTCTTGATTTAATGCGAATCATTTCCAACATGATTACAACTTGTCTTATGGTGAAGGAAAACATCGTGAAGAAACCTGCATGTCTGAGAAAATGTAACAAGTTTTCGAAAGACATATGAAGTCCGCCTACCTGCACTCAACCAGTGTGGGGGCCTAGGGCCTGATGCCCCCGTGTGGTTGTAGTAGGAAAGCCCATCTTAGGAAGCCATAATTGTAAAGACAAGTTTTTTGGAGGCTCCTCATCACAGGTGGTCATATTTATGTGACCCCCTGGAGGGACGTGTGTGATATTTTGCAACGTAAATTTTAGAAATAATTAAATAAATAAGCATTTTCAAAATTAATTTTAAGCTGTTTTAAAATCTTTACTCATAAAGTTAATAAGAATCAACAATAACGCGAAATGTATGCTACGACTTATATAAGTACGACATAGTTATGTATGCATTTTACACCTAAATTCAAATTTGAAACAATTTTGCCAACAGGTCGAGCAGTCTTAGATCGACTGAGCAGCACAACGTTGAGTGAAGTGGCAGTGTCAAGTGATACAGGAGGCTTGCTGCCCGCGCCTCTAGATGTAGCGCCGTTTTCTGTGGTAACTGCCAACGCCACTTGCGGGCAGAATGGCGCTGAAGAGTTTTGTAGAGAAACGCCGGGAAAGTAAGTAAAAGTGAAAAAAATATGAGGCAAACGCGAGTTTACAAATTTACATGACCTCGGTTTCAAAAATGGTGTTTTAAAACTATGTTTTTTAGTCAAGCCATTTTTTATGTAGTAAATTGAAATTATACATATCTTACGATATGTTAATCGGTACTGATTTTACACGACAGGATAAAAAATGAACTAATAGCAAAATTACAGATTGCAACAAGTATGAGATGTTATAATTACAGGCGCGGAATAGTCTGTGATGTGTGCGAGGGGCCTGAGGGATCCTCATCTCGACGACACCCAGCCTCCCATGCAGTAGATGGTGACCCCAACACTTGGTGGCAAAGTCCGGTTATAATTGACGACGAGTATCAACATGTGGAACTAGTGGCTACCTTGCCTGGGGTAAGATATAATCAGTTAAATGTATTTGGTAAAAGTATAATAATATTTACTTATCTGCTTTATTTTAGTCGAAGTGAGTATATAAGATTTCTTGTTTCTTCCACTTCAATTTCTTATTAATAGAAAATATAAATTGTTTTTATGACAATATTGTAGGTCTCGATTAAGCTCGTTCAAATATACTTAAGCGCTTTGAAATCGTCATTTTTTTACATTTAAATTAAATATTATTATGTCTCTGAAGAAGCTACCGTTTCGGATAAAAGTCAAAATTAGTATCTAGGTACCTAACACTGATACCTATAACGGTTATTTAAATAAAACTACACCAACAATATTTCATAAAACATAGTAACTTATTTCTAGATACGAAATACGTAGTCTCTGCGCTAGGCAGTTTTACTGTAAAAAAAAACATTTGAATAAATAGAAAGTATCATAGATATATCGATTATAATCGAATCATAATAACAAGAGTATTAGAGAGATTTCAATCTTAATGTTTAAACATGTTTATAAAATAAGCAGTCGATAGTCTACAAAAACAAGTAACAAGTCGAGCTGTTGAAGTGAGTTAACCAGACTCACCCACGCTTTATAAACGTATCATGATCTTGCTTCGGCGGCAGGACACCTTCAGCAAATCTCGGATTCAACTCAAAGCAACTAAAAATAATACTCGTAGATTTACGCGAATATTTGACATTTTTAATAAAATTATCTTCTTGTATTTAATCTCAGATTTATTTTGATTTTTGGTTTTTATTTCCTGGTTTATTTGAGAAGATAGGTTTATTCATATAAAATAATAATAATAATAAGAAACCATCTTGCCTTTCATTAGCGACTTGCTGACGCTACGCTCGTATCCTTTGTATATTTGACATTGTACTGTTGCCGCAAAACTTTTAAGAAATTTTATTACTAGTAGTCTATGTGTTACACTAGATTATCTACATATGTGCTAAGTTTCATCGAAATCCGTCCAGCGGAAGTAGTATAATAACAGCAGTGTAATTAGAATTATTTTAGTACAGTTGATGTCAAATAGTTTAACTATCTTGAAATATTTAAATATTCGGAATAAAAAAAGTAAGACCTCCGAGTTTCGATCAATATCTCTTCTCTCTTCGAATGATAACATTGATTACTTACTGGACTTGTCAGTCTTTATTTCATGTAAAAAAATGTTTTTTGAAGTTTTCTTTTTTTGGCATGTTTGGAAAAAAATATGAGAGTAAAAATTTTTACGATGCGCGCGCCACCGACAGCCAAAAAGCGACATGATGAAGTTAGCTGCATTTCTTTTACAAACAGAGTCGTGACATACGGGATGAAATCTTTAGCTATTTTTGTTCTGTTACGCCAAAGAAGTATAACTTCTTACGTACGCACATAAGTACACACACGTTTTTTTTAATATTAATTTATATTTTGAATTATAATTTTTAGTTTAATTTAGTCGTGATAAAATTCATGTCAAATTTGTTTACACGTAATTTAATACAACTTACCTATTAACGTTTCACTCACTTGCATTTAATTTCATTAATTTTCGATAAAATATATTTAATTTATATTGAAATCGATATCAAAATAAACTGTAATAACGGATCGCACAGTGTAACGGGCAAGAGTCGTACTGCGAATACAAGTTTTGTTACGGTTTATGTAAGAATCTTTTCCTAGGCTTCTAAGAATGACGATACTTTGCAATGCTATTGAGAAGTTGTATCATTAAATGTGCAGTTATGTTATAACTTAATGTCCATAATTTATCCCAAACTACGTGCTTGTATTTCGAATTTTACAACTCGTACGACGGGTGTTAATAGTAATTATTTGAGAAGTTTATTTCCTGCACACATTTATTTCTGCTATATGTTGCTTTGAGCATTGCATAGATCGCGTTGCATTGGCATAGGTCGCGGGTTCGTATAAACGTAAGGATAAACACAATTAACAATTTAGTTCAAAATCTGTTTTCTTCTTATATGATGTGTTGTAGTTTTCGTCTTCTATCTCTACGAAATTGATAAAAATATAATAACTAATGTATAACAGATAACTATAAATAAGTTCTTTAACTTCAACAAAGGAGATCACTGCATATGTGTGTTTTTTTACATATTATCAGGTATATTTGCCAATTATAAATGGATTTGGACGACTTTTTTAACAAACAGGTTTTATATAAATTACTAGAACAAATCTACCATAAATGTTAAATAACGAAAACGGTCAAAATTATTTTAAAGTCAATGTCCCTTTTGAATCAAAAATTAATATTTGGTAAGCACAATATATTTATATAGCAGTTTAGCTTTAATCGTAACCACCATTTTAGGTGCGCCAGACTCGCCCACACCGTCTGTTGCCTCCCAGAATAATCAGAATCACAGCATAACCGAATATACTCGATGCTGTGAAAGAATTTTAATTACTTAATCGATATTAATTATCATCAATTTATTCACAATTTTCATTAATATTGGTTGTAGACGTAAATGGATATAACTCGCATTTATTTAAACGATAAAATTTTGGAAAAAAATTGTTGTAATGTATATTTATTATTTAGGGGTCTAAAGAGTTGTGCATTTGATATTATTATGTTTATAATATTATTATCCAAATGTTAATTTATATGTGATCTTCGAGTTTTAAAAAAAATCTTTTTCCTACTTTCATCATCCTTAAAAACCATTACATGAAACATTATTTGTACTCTCAAAAATATATATTCAGCCCCTTTTAACGTCCCACTGCTGGCCCGGGGCTCCCTTAAATATGAGGGGGATCAGGATGGCCTGACTATGGAGTCCACCATGCTGGCCAAGGGCGGGTTGGCGGACTTCACACGTCTTTGGAAAACTTGCGAGGTTTTTTCAGACATACCTACAGGTTTCCTCTCGATATTTTACTTCACCGTAAGACCAGTGGTAATCATGTTAGAAATGATTAGCACGCACTATTAAAAATATAAAAGAATAAATTTGCAAAATAAAAGCTGCCAACTTTTATATGACTTATGGAACAGAGAGATAGTTAAAAGGTTAGTTCTATACACGAGACTAAATATAATATACTTATCAAATAAAATATGCAGATGAAACAGTATCAATTTTTCATGTGCATGTATTAAAATAGCTTAACTAACGTTATTTAATGGTTGTTGATAAACGTGTGAACTCTTATTTATGATGTGTTCACAACCGACGGACTTGAACCTGTGTCCAATTAATTATTTTCTATTGGCACCTACACTATATTTTCAGCTCTATAATGGCTTTAGACTCACTTGTGATTCCATGCTGCATTTATTAAAGGCGCTAAGCTGCCTTAAGCTGCTTACACACATATTACCTTATTTATATCTTTTATCTATACATATAATAAAATTGTAACTAAGTCGAATCTGTACATTAGATATTTTTTGGAAAATCCTATTGAAAAGGACATTATTATCTGTTACCGCATCACGAGAAAACCACTGGACAGATTTTGATGAAATTTGGTATGATGATAGCTGGTTATCCGGGTCATCATATAGGATACTTTTTACCGCGGGAAAATATCTTATTTCTGAGAAAAAATACAAAAACTGCAAAGTAAGTGTATACTAATATGTAAAACCTAAGAATTTGGTTGTTGGTGATCTGAACGCGAGCGGAGCCGCGGGCAGTGCTAGTATCTATATATAATAATACAATTCGGCAAAAACAAAACTAGACCAGGACCAAAGCCTTTGAAAATGGTAAAGGAAAAGGAAGATTGGAAAAGGAAGAGAATATAATAAAAATGACAGGAAAAATAATTGATAAACGGTAAAAAAACGGTATATCTCGACTTCCGACAAAACTACAAGTCCTATGGAAAAGAGTTAAATGGCAAAGTTGTAGGTAATAAAAAGATTTACAACTGTTGTATTTAAACATGTGAAAAATTCAAATAATCAAGGTTTTGTTTTATTTTTTATTTTTGTCTTTTACAAAAAAAAAACTTTTTACGAAATTTGGTGAAAACTTACCTTTTTTTGTCCCAAACATCCTGTATTTTTTTTCATTTAAATATTTATTTTTTCACCTTATTTTGACAAAAAGCAACCTAATTTTCAATCGAACATTCTCGCGTCAAAATATCTGCTTTTTTAAAAAGTCGGTGGGCTTTTTGTTCGTTGAAATCTCTACTTTCTGATGGCATAATTTGTGTATATATATAAATATATAAATAGATGATGTTGTATTAAATAATACGACATATACAATATTTTGAGAAAGTTGTAGAATCTTTTTTAAATTATATGCGTAGATGCCTATTTATTGCTATTTTAAGATAACTTATATACCTGAGTGACCTACGGAAATTTTTAGTCCATCAAAAGGTATTTCATAGAGAAGTGGAGAAGGGCCTTGGAGGGTCTGGCTTACACTTTTGCATTTACTTTACACTTGGCTTAACGTTTATCTAATGCTGAATAGTTAACTGAATTTAGAAGCCGGGAATATAAGGTTTGTAACCTACATTCATATCTCCAATTATGTTTGCACTTTGGCAATTTTCATGTGGCTTGCTAGATGCTCGCATTATTCAAGCGCGTGTTATTGGTCACGCAGATTTGCAGTTATGTATGTAGCCACCTTTATATGTCAATACAATATTTATCGAATGAAGTGTATAAATACATATATGTATGTTTTCGTCGGCGACTTTGTCTGCATTAGATTTATGAGGTGCCTTCGAAAGTTATCGAGTTTTTAATGACTCCTCACGTAACTTTATGGTGCATGTATAAAGAGTAAATGTATTATGGGAAGAATTTTGTGAAAATTGTTATAGTTTAGGCACAAAGATTTTTTATGTATAGCTGTATCTAGTTTCATCTATATGGGTTAGATTATAATGTTAATTTCACTATATTTTTAAACTTAGAATTGCATTGGCGCACTTACTACGGTACGTCCAGCACAACCTTAACGGAGATGGAAATTATAAAGCGTTTCGCAATAGTATTTCTGGTAACTTCACAATTAATAAAGACTGACAATATAATGAGTTAAAATTACTATTGTTT